ATATCCAGCAGAGGGTGCCCAACTACCGAAGGCTCCCAAGGGCTAGCTACAATCAGATGGTATTCTAAGTCCTAAGACATACATTCAAAGGAACAAAGACATACATTCAAAACAAAAACGAAGGCACGCATTCGAGAAGAAAGGAATTGGAGAAAACAAATCATATAAACACAGCCCGAGGGCAATCATGCATTCATCAAAAACAAAGTAAGTGTGAGATTTACAAACGGGCCGAAGCCGAAGGAACAATGTTGTTCATTACAAAACATGTTCAAAGATTTCTAAGTACAAAGTCATTCTACAACTACAACAGCATCATTCACTGGGGCGCCCTCTGCAGCCGGGCTCGATGATGCCTCCGCTCCGGTCTCGACAGCGTCGTCCTCGGCCTCATTCTTCAACTCCGTGTCCTCAAGGTCGGGCCTCTGAACACCTTCCGGGAGCAACTCACGGACATCAGGCTGCAGGGGAGGAAGGCCATACGCCGAGGGGGAGAAGTCCTTTTGCTCAATGCCCAAATGCCGGGCCATCCTCCGGTAGATGAGGGCCTGGGTGAAGAATTCGCCGGCTTCATAGTACTCTCTGCCCTTCCGGGCCATCCATTCCCACCCAGGGCCCTCGGCCCATTCTTCAACGCATGCCTCCACGATCGAGGACACCCACATCTTGCGCCCCTCGGCTCTCCAACCCTCGGCGACAAAGGCCTCAACGGCCTCCTCCTGAGCCTTGGCGACGGCTAGCGCTTTGGAGTCCTCGGCCTCTTTAGCAGCGGCCTCAGCAGCGGCCTCAGCATCAGCCTTGCCATTCTCTGCAGCCTCCAATTTCAAGCTCATCTGCCGGAGCTTCTCTTCTAGCTGGGCCCCCCAGCTTCACCGCCTCTTGGTTCTTGAGGAGGCACTCCCTCATTCTGGCGTCTTGCTCCGCTTTGTGGAGGCGCCATTCTTGAAGCCTCCGAGCCTGTTCGCCGAGGGCTAAGCAAGCCTGCAGAACAACAACAAAAACAGTTAAAGGCAATCACACAAAATAATCAAAGGAGAAGATGGAGAAAGCCAGGTAAACACTTACAGAGAGGGAGGAGCGGAGAATGTGGTCCTCGAGGGCCGCATCATTATAGGCCCCGAGGGCAGCCCTATCCGTCTCAGGGGTCATTCCCCTCAGGAAGGCCCCCGGGTCGACAGCGCCGCTGGCCAAAGATGTACCCCTCGGGAACGCGACTTGGAGGATCTCAGGCAGCAACTCCTCTGCCCCCGCCGGCGTTCCACGCGGCAGCTTCTCCACCTGCACCCCGGAGGCGGGGTGCTCATCAACGATAATGACCGGGGGCTCCTTCTCGGCGACATCCCCCTTCTTCGGCTTTTTGGTAGCCGGGGGGACCCCTTGGTCACTGCCTTCCTCTTGCCGGCAGCGGCATCGCCCTCGGCTTTTTTAAAGAGGGCAGTGGCGGGCTTCTGGATGCCCTGTCCCGACCCCTTCGGGTCCTGTTTCTTCAAACGAGCAAGGCCCTTTACGTTCACCATAGAGACGGGGATACCTGCACAAAGGAGACAAAGGGTTAGTCCGACGGGTCTAAGCGAAGGGACGATAACATCCAAGCAAAAAAAAAAAACTAAGTACAAAATTCTAAAGCCCTCGGCTCCTACCTCCGGCCCCTCCGAAGGCCTTGTTGAAGGGAGGGTACTTTTCATCGGTCTCCCCTATGAAGCGGTACCTCCGGAACCCGAGGGTGTATAAATCCTCCTCGAGGGTGCAGTCTTTGATCGCCACGTTCTTGTTTTTCCCCTCTGGGAACTTGGCCAGCTTTAGGCCGTCTTTCTCGAGAGCGGCACTCCTGATCTTTTCGTGCCTTCGGAATCGATCACGCAGCTCCCTCGGGAATGGGCTCTCATCCAACTTTACATAGCACCAACGTTCCCTCCATCCTTTGTTGGAAGAAAGAGCATCGGAGAATAGTTTGAAGCGGGCAATCTGCTGCAGGTTGGCGTACCCCTCGCCGTTTTCGTGCCCCCCCCCCCCCCCCCCCGGCACAAATTAAAGCTCTGGAAGAATAGATCCAGGCTGGGCTTCACCCCTCGGGACTTGCAGAGCTGGAGGAACCCCGCAATGTAGGAGTGGCTGTTGGGCGTGACTTGGCAGGGGACCAAGCCAACAAACCGCAAATATTCCCGGAGGAATGGGTGCAGAGGGAACCTAAGTCCCATGGAAACCGAAAGGACGTGAATAGCGATACACCCCTCGGGCGCCCTGGACAACACGTCGTCGGGACCTGGCTCCACCACTTCGGCCGAGGGCCCCACGTGCAGCTGAGTCACGTACAGATCTGCCCTGTCAGCCTTCGACCTGATCTCGAGGGCCTCAGTGTTCAGCCAACTATACCCCTCGGGCATGTCCACGGGCTTTCCTTGATCGACGGCCCTCTCCTTCTTCTTGGTAGCGGCCTTCTTCTTTTTCGAACCGGAAACCGCCCTCAGAGGTATCGGATCCAACGGCCTCGAGCTACTGGCCTCCCCGGAACCCCGAGGGGGGAGAACAACAATCGTAACCTTCGAGCTCTCATTCTGTGCCTCATCCTCCGCTGTCTGCCATGCGAGGGCTAAGTCTTCATCATCGCACTCCTGCTCGAAGCCCTCGGCTTCAACCTCCGCAATGAGTTCATTCTGGACCTCCCAGGCCAGGGCTGCATCACCACCATCCGAGGGTTGACCACTGCTTGACTCCACGTCGGAGATGCTTTCGTCCTCCATCGAGGGCGTCCTCGAGATATCTTGAGAATCACTCTGGGACGACATTCTGACTCTAGTTCGAAGGCTCGTACAACTAGTGTTTTCTAAATGTTCTATCTCCTAGCCTAGGGGCGCAGTACAGATAGCTAAGAGGTGAAGGGTAACTGGAGAACTGACCTTAAGAACAGAGGATTCAACCGGGGGCTGCTGTTTCTCTCTCTAGAAAAATTGGCAGAGCTTCGCTAACAAGTTTTTCGCACACGGAGGAATGCCTGGCCTTGGGGTATTTATAGGCGCTGGAATCCGGGCTTGGGCCTGGGTTCCGGGCCTCCGGACGGACCGCCGTCATTACACACCGCGTCTTCACCCAACCAGTGATGCCGCCCACGGACAGCCAGCCATCACACGCCACGTGTGCCACCCCCCAACGGCTATATCCTGTCGTTACATATTCCAACGGCTATATTTCCAACGGCTATATTTTGGAAGCCCCCGGGTTTTCTACTTCACTCCTCTTCATCAAGGATAGCCTCCGGGTACACTCACTCAGAAGTGCCCCCGGGTTGTGCCCCACACAGCACATAACAGACGCCTTCGGGATCACTCCTTCAGAAACCCAGGGCTTCATATCAGAGCACCCCTCGGGGATTCCCCCTCAGCACTGCAAAACTGGGTAGCCCCCGGGGAGTTCCTCATTGACGGATGGCCCCTGGCACACAGGTAATGGGGAGCCCTCGGGTATCTTCATCACCAACAAATCAACAAACAGCGGATCCCCCCGGTAACAACTTCACTGCCGCCCTCATCTGGCAGGCCCTCGATCCCTGGATTGAGGGGCTCCCCTTCGGCACCACCATGACATCAACAGCAAGCCTTCGGCTAATCAATACAGGAGCCCTCAGAGGAGAGAGCCTTCGGCATTCCCGTCATTCTCCACTTTGTACCAAGGTTTGACATTTTCGATTCATCATTGGGGGAATTCGGTGCACTCTTTTTCCCTCATTAGGATTTTTCCCAAAGGGTTTTTCCTAATGAGGTTTTTAACGAGGCATCCCCCCAAAATGAAACGAAAAGCGTCAGCCTTCGGCCCACAACAGCAACATAACTACTTTACTCCTTTTCACCACTTTACAAGTGCCTCAAGGAGTGGGGGACTGGAGGACCCCCTCGGGAAAATCATTAAATTACAAAATCTGTGAAATTCCAACAAACAACAAAGCAAGCCCTCAAGTCCCGACATGTGGGTAACTGAGGGACTGCCTTCGGCAGGGACATAAAAGCAACAACTCCTCACCAACTTCAGAGATCACAACGGGACAACATCAAAGGGCAAGCACAAATTACTCCTTTTCCCTCAAGTACCTTTCGGCAAAAGGAGTGAGGGACTCCTGATGGAGTATATGGCCCGGGAACCCCCGGCCCACAGACTCCTACTACTCCAGCGAAGGCCCAGCAGGCCCAACAGGCCCAAATCACAGCGCCCAGAGTACCAAGCAGCCCGCACTACGCGCCAGGGGTGCCTTTGGCCCCCTGGCCGAAGGCTCTAAATTCTCACAGAGCGGGTTTCTCAAGCAAACTAAGAAACTGGGAGAAAACGGCGAAAACAGTAGCCCTCGGCACTGTGAGCCCTCGGCACCATGGTGCCATCGGGTGGAAGAGCCCTCGGCTACTGCTCTATAGCCGAAGGCATCTCACTCGACAAGATATCCGCCTCACATGCGTACAGATCACCGTACCCCGCACAGACGTCCCATCCAACAGCCGCATTAAATGCGGCCACATGCGGCTGCCAGCGCCAACCAGCTGAGGTGACCCCTCGGCCAATGAGCGCTTGACACGTGTCCCTGCCCGGCATTTATTGCTACTATAAATAGCACCCCTTTTCCCCATTTGTAATCAGGTCATAACAGGCTGAAAACACTCCGCATTTATAATACATTCTCTCTCTCTACTTTTACTTATTTGCTCTGACTTCTTTCTAAGTTACTCCCCGTAATAACCCTTCGGATACATACTCCCGGGTAGACTATCCATCAGGAGGTTGCACGATTATTAAGAAAAATTGATTTATGTGCTTGATATTCAATTAATAAAGTGAGAATAAAGTAAAAACGACTTTACCAAATTTGATATAAGAAATCATAATTCATAATAAGACTTTCTAAAAAAGTAAAATGAAACAATGTTAACAAGAACGAGAGATAAAACAATTCCTCCATAATTGTTAACTTTGTATATTTTTGAAATGTTTCATAAATCCGTTCGTTTCCCCTGCCCTTCCACGTTCTAGTTTATTTCGTCATAGCAATAAAATCGATCTTTTTTCCCCTCGCAGCCTATATAATACTCTGGGATTAACCATGTACCAAAACGTGCCTAGTTAAACAGATCTGCTAGCTCGTTTCGATAATACTGAATACTCCGTAACTTCTTAAATTCCTTCAGCATGTTAAGCACCGAAATCAAATTTGATATCGTTTACTTGTGCGGCAATGGCCTCGACGGCTATCTCCATTACCTGCAAGGTTCAACTCCTGAATCGCTAAGAGCTCTCGTTCTTCGAGTCGCTAACGGCTGGGCTCCATATGTTTATGTCGGCTTCAGAAATCTCTGCATCATCGCTGCGACGACTCAAAGAAACAAGGTTACCGAGTACCTGAACAGGCCTGCAAATGCTGCTCTTTCTGCCGAGATTACCAAACATTTCTACGTTCGTGACCACGTCAACTTCTCGGCCCTCAATCTCATCGGGCATATGATCATTGCTGCCAGCGGCAAGACAGAGCACCGCGGCATCAATCGCTTCCGCAAGCGTTGCGGTGGCGAAAGCATTTGGCACGCTGATCTGGACAGGAGCAAGTTTTCCGAGGCTCAAGAGAATTTGCAAGGAAAAGGTTGGTAGGTTCAGTGCTGAGGAAGCTATTCGATGCGGAAGGGAAATTGCTAGTCATCTCACCAGTGCTCGCTCTCTTGCTATGGCTGCCAACAGCAATGCAAACAAGTCTGCTATTCCTCCAAGAAGTAGCATGGAAATGAATTAAGACAAGCTTGTTGTGGTTTATTGGGTTGATGTTGATGAAGCCTAAAGTTGTTTTTGTTAGATATTTTAATTTCCTTATGAATTTTGCATATTAATTTTGCTTAAAAGCGGTTCGTGACGTTTATTGTTACTCCTTTCTTCCCAAATTGTTTTACAAAGTTATCTCAACTAAACGTAAAATTAAAATTTTCTTATTAATAATTAATTCAATTTTAATAATTAAAATTTACATATTTAAAATTACATCTAAAATTGTATAAAGTTGCAAAATTCAAATCAAAATTTAATTAAGATTTGATATTCTAATTAATTAAGACAATAAAATGAATCTATACAACACAAAAATGTCAATTTTCAAACTCAATTTGAGATGGGGGAGTGTTTTTTGTCCACTAGTTAAGTTGATTGTAAACGGTATTTGTAGTGTCACAGCAATAGATCTATAAATTAATTAATTAATTAATTAATTAATATCTTACTAACAAAACGCTAAGATTTGTTAGATATTGGAGGATACATTCGTAAGATCTTAATAGCAAAATCTCATAATATCTTATCAGATTAATAGATCTCATAAAAATTAGAGGTTTATCTAAAACATAATATTAACAAAAGTTATGTGAGCTTACTTTTAGTGAATATAATTACGTTAAAAAATATATTGTAATAACTATACATATACCTTTATACTCCGTGATGATTTATACTCCGTATATATGAAGAAAACTTTGAACATTATTATAATCATTAAAACTAATTAAATCATTTTTTGTCCACTATTATTATTTTTATTTTGATCATATGTCATGGTACCTTCGTCCCATATTGACTGTCATGTCTCAATTTGACACAATTATTAATAAAATGGTTGAAATATAAAAATTATGGTTGCGATTTGAATAGAATTGAATTAAGTGAATTTTTTGGAAGAAGGTGGCTTAATTTAACATGTCTTCTGTCTGTCGTATGCCCTAGAACTAGACTTAGAGTCAATCACCTCCGTAGAAGCAATTGGATTCGATGAACCCGCTTTGGGCTTAACTGAACGAATGACTTCGAAACAAGACTCATCATCACCTGTCTTAGGCCGGTTCTAGAGTTTTCTTGCCTGAAAAACACGACACAAGCAAAAAAGAGTAGATTCCTCTCATCAACCAATCGGAGTAGATTCCTCTCACCCTGCCTCCCATCCATCGTGCTCACTGCCCAGTCATCTCCGATGGAGCATCTACCCTTCCCGATTAGCCCTCATGTTCGCCGCCGCTCTCTTGTCATTACCTTGTTCTCGATTGGTGGCTTGGAAGCCACATTCATCGATTGGTAATTGAGACCGCACACAACCCTACCTGATTTGCGCCCTTAGCGATGTTCGGAAACTCATTGCGTCGTTGGAAGAAACTCCTAGGGATCAACCTTAGAGACGGCCGCATGTGGTTTGTGAGAGAATTAATACCTAAGGGATAATCTTACTTAAAAATTAGAATAAAGTGAATTGATAAGGATCACATATTTATTGTCACAAAATAGAACATTTATTATTAAGACAATCAAAATGAAAAAATAAGGGTTTAATGCATCAAACCCCCTCATGAAAGGTAAATTTGGCGCATTAGCCCCCTGTGATTTAAAAAATGCGTCAAACCCCCTTGTGTTATCATTAATCATGCGCCAAACCCCCTCCAAGAATAAATTTAATTTCAAAAAAGATGAAAAACTATTTGTTTTTTTGTATAATTTAGAAATTTTGACAAAGTTATTTGCATATTCAACCATATTATTAAAAAAAGTGATTTCAAAATTATAAAATTTGTTCTTGAAGGGAATTTTGTGCATGATTAATTAAAATACAGGGGGGTTTGACGCATTTTTTAAATCAAAAGGGTCTAATGCGTCGAATTTATATTTCAGTAAGACAACCAAAATGAAAAAAGAAAGTAAGACAACCAAAATGGAAGAGAGAAAATAATTGTTTCTAAAAATTATAATTACCACATAAACTAAAAGCAGCTCAAAGGGCGAGTGGTTGCTTATCATTAACTCCCTAAGTGTGCTAGCTTGGTCCGCTGATTTACGTCGCTATACGGGAAGTCGCCAACTCAGTTGGTGACAGTGGTTAATCAGGGTTGAATTGAGCAGTATATTGGTATATATTATTAATCTAACCCTAACTTTGTAAATAATTTTGTATTTAACATTAATAAGGGAAAAAATTCTCAAAGGGCTGGTATTAAAAATCACGGGACTTAAAGTTTACGAACTTTTGAAAACAAGTAGTGTACTCCGTGATTCACGATTTCCGATCATAAACGCATGCAGCAATCAAATTAGGTGCACCTATGATTAATTTTCAATTAATATAACGACAACACTATCAATGAATGACGGCTTGTTCAGATTTTCTATATCTTTGTATTACCCCGCCGTTTGAGATATTTACTGCGATTAAATTTTGTGAGTCTCGAGAGTAAAAAAAAAGCAACGTAACGTTTCAGTTCTCCATCCAACAACCTCAGCGTCTAATCTCTATTGATTTTGTGCACGTTAGCATATAAAATATCGTGTATTGAGAACAAAAAGGTTTTTGGGGAGTGAGAGATCGAGTGAGATGTAGAAATGGTGGGGTATGAAGAAAGAAAAGATGAGGTTTAATTATGACTCGGTTGGTTGATTGTCTATCGGTCATTTTTGAGTGATTTGACTTATAATTAGCCTTTTAAACAAATAAATCCGTTAAAAAGAGTATTTGTTGTTTTACTTTTTGATTTAGCTTTTCACCTCAAACAGCCATAATACAAGGGATCTAAACAAGGAGGGAGTATAATTTTTAATACTATTCCATTGAATTTTAACAAGAACCGCACTGATCCCAGACCTAGTAAAAAAGCATTATAGTTTAACAATTCGGATGATGACCAGGTGATGATGAACAAACATATAGCGGTGAGAATCAATCGGAATGTTGGAGTGACTCAAATTTACTTTTCTCAAGTGTTTAAGTGTATTGTTGAGAGTCTAAATTAATCTGCCAAGATCTAGAACCATCCAGTGCTAATAAAAAAATTAAAGAGTTGAAAGATGACATGCAATAACTTTATTAACGTGAAAATGTGAACAGTGTAAAATAAGGGATCTAAACAAGGGCTAAAAACGCTAAATCATAGAGATAAGGGATCTAAACAATTCTACACGAGTTCGGAGTGAAATCAGAAACATTTGTGAATATATGATTAATCTGTTACTTTTAATTAATGCATTGTAAATGAAGTTGGAATAATAGCTTTAGAGCTCCGATCTATACTTCCAAAGAGATATAATACGCTCCAAACGGTTAAACACACAGCAAGATATGAGTGTCACAAATACTTAGCCTTATCTCTATGATTTAGCGTTTTCAGCGAAAATAGAGCACTTTTAGCGTAAATAAAGTGTATTTTAGTAATTAGGCAATCATCCCTTGATAAATTGAAACCAGCGCCTGAAGACAAATTTTAGAACTCGGTAAGATCTTTCCAACGAGATATTAAACGCTTTCAACAGCACAAAATAGAGCAAGATATGATCGCATCATATTCTACACGAGTTCGGAGTGAAATCAGAAACATTTGTGAATATATGGTTAATCTGTAACTTTTAATTAATGCATTGTAAATTAAGTTGGAACAATAACTTTAGAGCTTCGATCTATCTTTCCAATGAGATATAATACGCTCCAAATGGATAAACACACATCAAGATATGAGTGTCACACATACTTAGCCTTATCTCTATGATTTAGCGTTTTCAGCGAAAATAGAGCACTTGAAAGATAAATGCAAAGAACATGTTTTAGTACCTTTAGAGTATGGAACCTGCTATGGAGAACATCGATTATACAAGGGATCTAAACAAGGGTTTCTTACCAAGACATTCATAACTTTGATTATACAACTTTTATTATTATATTTTACTTATAATCCATAATACTAATATCAAGCTCAATATTTCTAAGAACACAATCTGTTTCTGTATTTTTTGGATATTTGAGGTTGTAGATAAATAATTAATACAGAGTATGTAATTGAATACTTAACTTTTGCGATTCGAGTGCATGTGCATGTGTAATAAGTAATAACAATAGAGTTTTGCATACAATGTATTTTTTTTAGAGAATGGCTACAAAGAGTTTATAATTAATGATTGATTTACTTTAGTACTAACAAAGTAGAGTATTGTACCTAATATCTCTCTGTTGAAAGAAACCCTAGCGTACGGTACTGCAGCCTCCTGAAGGTGATCGATCGAACATTATCAGTGAAGCAGGGCTCGCGAGGAGGATTGCGGGACACGTAAGTCATGCTCGAAGCTAGGATCTGAGAAAAGAGTTACGGTTTTGGCTATTATTGATTTGCTTTCATTTTTTTTTCGATTGATCTGGGTCCGACTGAACTTTGTCTTTGGTCGAGGGTATTTTTGTGTTTCATTTGTAAACATTTGTGCGCAGAGCTACGTTTTTGTGTGGTCCGTTTTGTTGTGTGGTTTGGTTTTTCAATGGAGAACATACCTTTAGAGTATGGAAAGATGTCAATTGAGGTAGACAAAAATAGTGGTCTAGTGTTTGAATTTGGAGCCAGAATGTCAACAGTGGAGTTGGAGATAACCCATGTTTTACTGCTATTGCTAGGGTTGTCACGGACAAACCTATCCAACATATCTCTTTCCGGGAAACAATGACTATGATATGGCGACCGAGTAAAGGGTGAGTATTGAACAAACTGGAGATATGCATTTCATGACATGGTTCAATTATATCGTGAGAATGTCATATCTTGGGTACTGCAGGAATGGTTGTGGTCCTTTGATTAGAATTTAGTCGTTATTAGAAGGGTGGAGGCTAAGGAAAGACCTCTTGAGGTGGAGCTGGACCACACAAAATTTTGGGTTTAGATCCATAACTTACCACTGAGTTTTATGACTGAGAAAGTGACAACAGGTATTGGTCGCTACATAGAGAAACTGATCCAAATTGATGAAAGAATCCTGAATGTAGACAACGACTTTGTTTGCATTTGTGTTTTACTCAATATTAAAATGTGTTGAAAAGAAGAACAGTGTAGCTGGTTCTGGGCGTACTTCAAATTTGAGAGGCTCCGA